AATAGTTGTGGGACATACACAATACAGACAGATATGAATATATATACATCATTTACATCATTGAACACCGTCATATTTTAATGTCATTTTCATTTATAAATTTACATAAACAATTGATTAATTTGTAGGAAAAGTGGGTTAAAAGGAGGTGGAAACTGATTGGGAGAGGGATTTGGATTTTGGGAAGTTTTTTATAGAGGTCAAAGGATTTGGAATTTAAGGGACACGAAAAAAAGATGTGTTCTAAGGTTCCCTCATCAAGGCCGCATTCGCACAGCGAGCTGTCGCGAACGCGGATCTTGCTGAGGAAGACCGGACTACTGCAATGGCCGAGTCTGAGCCTGCACAAGGATGAAACAGTATGACGGGGAAGCTTGGGGTACTTGGAAAACCAAGGTTTCCGTCGGATGCCGGGCTGGACAACCGCATAGTAGGCCCCTTTATGTTTGGATGTTTCTACCCACACTGCAGTCCATGAGTCAAACAGCTTGTGCTTTGTGTCTGCACGTATATCATACCCGTACACAACGTGGTGCTGGCGTTCGAAATCGTTCGAGGCCGCAAATTTGGCCAATGAATCCGCACACTCGTTACCACATATGCCAGAGTGGCCAGGAATCCAAGCGATCTCGATATTTATGCCATCTTTGTAACAAGAGAAAAGAAGCGCCTTTATCTCAACAACCAAACTGCTATGAGTTCGGGAATGGAGCTGGTCTTGGTTGAGAGATTGTAGACTACTCCGGGAGTCGGAAAAAATAACAGAGTTTTTTAGGTTGTGTGCTCTAATAAACTTAACTGATTCTAAAATGCCAAAGCATTCTCCCGTGTAGACAGATGCTTCCGGGGGACACTTAGAGAGGAGGGCGATCTTCGAATTTTGGAAGTACGCTGCCACTCCTGTACTTCCGTTTCGAGATAGCTTAGACGCGTCTGTGAAAAAAATATTCCAACCTTTCCAGTATTTGTTCAAGGCGAGTCCGAACTCGCCCGTAGCATCCACGGAGGATTTCGAGATGCCGAGCCCTAGAATCAGCTTTGGCCTGAAGTGGATAACCTCATATACGGAAGAGAAGACCGGGAGTACAGGATATTGCTTGATGGGTGCAGAGAGGTTTTTAAGCTCCCTGTACCTGACAATCACGGGAGGGACAGGTTTACTATTCCAGTAGGAAGAGGAGCTATAGGAACAGTGGATTTGTTCTAGGATAGGAAGAAGGGGATGTGATGAGAGGGAGAGGACTTTTGAGATGAAACGGTCTGCAAGGTATTGTCTTCGAAGGTTGAGGGGAGGCTCTACACATTCAACCTGAAGAGCATTTATGGGGGATGATTTCATAGCTCCGGTAATTATTCTAAGGCATTTGGCCTGAATGGAATCTAGTTTTTTTAATGCACCCTTATTGCAAGGAACAATAAGGAAGCAACAATAGTCCATTACGCTTCTGACCAATGCATTGTAGATGAGCTTCAATGAGTAGGGGTGAGCACCCCACCATACCCCAGCCAGAGCTCTAAGTACCGATACCGAGCGTTCACACCTTGCAACCACGGTGTTTATATGATCCGCCCCAGACATCTTTGCATCGAGATAAACCCCCAAGAACCTAGCACTGCTTTTGATCGGGATATCCTGACCGTCTATCTCTATACGAAGGTCCGGAGTGCGTCGTTTGCGTGTAAAAATGACAGCTGAGCTTTTTGGGGCGCTTAAAGATAACCCGTGATTAAGAAGCCATTGGTTTAATGAGGCCAAAGAGACATTGATGGAGTGGGCAGCGTCTGTTATAGAGCTATTGGTAACCATCAGTGCGATATCGTCAGCATACTGAAGGACATTACAGTTGAAATTTAAACAGGAGGGGAGGTCATATGTATAAATATTATAAAGGATGGGACTAAGGACTGACCCCTGAGGCAAACCTTTCCAGGAGGACCTCCGTACTGGGTTATCCTCAGGAGTTCTTAATTGGAGGGTACGATCGGAAAGGATGCAGGCTACAATTCGGCAGATCCTACGCGGGATTCTCAGCTCTTGCAGTTTCTGCCTGAGAAGGGGTAAGAGGACAGAATCATAGGCCGCTGAGATGTCCAAGAAGACCGCGACCAACGACTCCTGCCTGCTAAGGGCCAGTCGGATGGCTGACGTGAGGGTACCCACACTGTCAGCCGTACCCAGACCTTTCCTGAAGCCGAACTGAGTCGCCGGAAGCAGCCTCTGGCTTTCTACCAACCATTCAAGGCGGTTTTTGATGAGATGTTCAAATATTTTAATAAGTATGGACGATAGGGCAATAGGTCTATACGACGAATGGTTACCAGGATCCTTGCCAGCTTTTAACAGCGGCATAATAACCTGAACCTTCCAGGTAGGAGGAATATAGCCTGAATTAAAGCAAAAATTGACTAAGTCAAGGTAGTATTGCTTCGCTTTTGTTCCTGCCTTAGTTAAGAAGGAGTAGGGGAACCCATCAATCCCTGGTGCCGAGTCCTTCACATGATTGAGTACCGTTTGGAGCTCTTCAGGTGAGAACTCCAAATCGAGCGGGTCATGCGACTCGGGTCGCTCGATCTCATGGGATCTCAGGCAGCATTCATCTGCGGCGGGAACATAAGTTGGAGCAATATTGTTAAAAAAACTGTTAATCAGAGATTCAGGTAAGGTGGAGACAGTGGGAGGTTTGGTGGAGTTTCTAAAATTTTTGACTCTCTGCCAAACTGTGGATATTGGAGTCGATGGGCTCAAGGAACCACAAAATCTCTGCCACCCTTGTCTCTTCTTTTTCCTGAACAATTTCCTTGACTTAGCCAAAATTCGTTTGAAATTTATGAGGTTTTCCAGGTTCATATTTCGGTTATATGTTTTTTCAGCCTCATTCCTAGCTCTTATCATGGCAGTGCATTCACTATCCCACCATGGTGGAGAAGGTATTTTGCCTTTCGGTGTGTTTTTCACCGGAAAGCAATCTTCGGCTGTGGAGGCTATCAGGTCTGAGAATTTCGAGAAACACTCCAAAGAATTCTCGTTGTTAATTGATGGAAGGGAAGAGGTGCGGAGGTCTAATAATTTTGAGTAAAGATCCCAATCTGCAGAATCTAAACGGTATTTTAATAAGGGAGGAAGGGGTTTATCCGGAATGGATTTTGACGGGTGTTTAATTATGATGGGATAGTGATCACTACCATAGGTCAAATCTAAACAACTCCAATTTAGCACGCTAGCCATATCAGGCGAGCAGAAGGTCAAGTCCACACAGCTGTTTCTTTGACCAAATGCAGACCTACGAGTAGGACTGCCATCATTAATGACACACAACTCGAGTTCATCCAGCATCTCAACTAGCTCATTACCCATATTATCACATATCTCTGAACCCCATCTATAGTGGTGGCAGTTGAAGTCACCCATTACAAGTAATGGGCCACTTACCGAGGTTAGTAGATTTCTAATCAAAATAAGCTGGTCAACATGAGGGTGAGCAATGTAAAATACAAATATGTTTATGTCCTCAGCCTTAACAGCGACAACATTTATGTCATCGCCAACGAAGGGTAGAGGAATCTGGGAGAAGGGTACTTTGTTATTAACTAACAAAGCACAACCTCCATAACCATCAGATCTGTCATGTCTGACAACATTGAAACACGGGATTCCGAAATTTATATTCGGTTGAAGCCATGTCTCAGCAATGCCACAAATCAATGGTTTAAATTTATTGATCAAGTGGAGTAAGTCACTCTTCCTGGGAAGAGTACTCCTCACGTTCCACTGAAGCAGTGTTAGAGGCAGGAATTTTGCAAATATAATCAAGAATTGTTGAAAGTTTGTGTGCCACGTGGTCAGGTACGGTATGGGCAGGGTTTGATAGTACTGCCATGAGCATATCAGAAACTATGTTCAAAATGTTTTCGGAGCTACGAGTGTTGGTTCCGGATTCCACAGGGAAAGCGCAACCACTTTTAGATGGGGAGAACGAGTAGTTATGTATAAGGGCCTGATGAGCCTTCTTATCATAACTAGGAGAGAGGGGAACATGTGATTTGGGTTTGGGTTGGATAGTTTTCTTGTAGGAAACTTTTTGTTGGGATGGTTTTTTAGTAGGTGATGGCTCTGTGAGGTTTACTGATCTAGAGACCTCAGCATATGACCTTTTTACAGTAGGGAAAACTTGGCTTGCTTCCGCATAAGAAATTGATTTTTCTGCCATCAGAGCTTTGATGCTCTTCTGGCGACCCAATTCAGGACAAGCTTTGTCATTCGCAAAGTGGTTGCCATTGCAATTGATACAGGTGGCAATCTCAGCTGAAATTTGGCATCCATCACCTGGATGGTCCTGGCCACATCTGAAACAACGTGGCTTGGAGCGGCAAAGAGTGCGGGTATGTCCGAAACGACAACAGTGATAGCACTGTATGGTAGGATATGAATATAGTTCCACCGGGAGTGCTGAATAGAAACAAAACACTTTTTTGGGTAGTGTTTGACCGTCAAAAGTAAGCACTACGGTTTGGGTAGGCTTCCATTCGGTACCGTTTGGGGTTGAGACTCTGCGATTCATCCTCCTAGCTTTTATCACAGCCCCACACCCGGTGGGAACCCTGATGTTGCCAATGATTTCGTCCTCTGTCCATTCCACAGGGACGTCCCTGACAATGCCCATACGGGTAATGTTAAATTGAGGGATCGAAGTCATATAATTTTGAGCTACCATACCGTTTACTAAAAAGCTGTTAGCATCCTGGTGCGTCACAAACTCAACTGAAACTCTATTTCTCCCCAGCCGTTTGACACCACCGATCTTAACATTATTAATGTTTAATTTCATTAAGAACATACCAAACTTAACTGGGTGAAGCGTGGTGCCAGACGTCTGGGAGTCCTTAAGAAACACATAAACTATGTATGGGGGATTATCCCTGGCCGTGTAACATTGTCTACTATTTACACTTTTTGCCAATTTCGGGGGGTTGTTCTGGGTGATAAGGGGGGAGCCGGCGGGTCGTTTTCGGGATTTTGAAACTTCCGCGTCCATTCGTTCGATATCCGGGGAGGTGGGAGGAAGGGTAATTGTGACGATAGTTTCCGTCTCATATTCCGGGGATTTATCGGGATCGGGAGGATCGGGTGGCTTCACCTCGTCCATTTTGAATTAAAAAGATGTGGGCAGAGGAAATAATACAATAAAATATACTTAAAAACCAATACCTGATTAAAACTTACACACACATACACTTACACAACACAAAAACACAAAATTTAAAAGATTTCAATTCAGATCACTATGAAATAGCTCACTTAAATTGAAAACAAACGTAGGAATGACAAAAGCACGTGCGTAACCTTCACCACTACCAACGAAAGTCCACGAAACGTTTTAAAGCGCTTGTCAGTTGTCAGCTGTCAGTGTCAATATTATCTTTAATTCGCTCTCTGCGTTTCAGTTGTTTTCGCGATAGTTATCATTATTGTTTTGTGTTTTAAACAAAAACCGCAAGTTTTACAGGTTTCAGGAGAAATGTCTAAGTATCGGTAATTAATACACTACACGATGCTGAATACTGCATACTTGTACATGACTTCTAATGTAGTGGGTCAAAGATGTACTGAGCACCTGGCATTGTCCTTTTAGCTAGGACCAAACGAAACTGAAAAATTATTAATAGATAGGTTTTATTTAATTAAAATCATAATTTGGTATTTTTGAAACGTCAAAAAATGAAGAAATAAATAGTAGGTAGTCTGTGAAGCTAGGTGCTGGTTCCAGAATGTAGATTCGAATGGAGAAGAATGAGCAAGAAACTCAATTCGTTACCATGTCACATCTAATACAGATGGCCACTACAATTCCAGGTGTTTCGGCGCGGTGACGTTCCACCTGCTGACGGTGGTGGTGAACCTGAAGCTGTGGCTGCACGCACGGTACCACACGCTACTGTTTGTGTTGTCCGTGGTGCTCTCCATTGTCATCTACATGGGCTTCAATACTGTGTATTCTGTTATTTATTTGTGAGTATAAACTTTATTTTTGTTTTATTTTATAATGGAATTTAGTACAGCTTCATATTAACTAAAAATAACGGTTTACTCAAATAGATATACTGTGCACAGCTCTACTAGTTTCGAGTTACAAAGGGGCTCTTCCTCATGAGTAACGCCTACCAGTAGGCAGCGCGACGTTCAGTTTAAATAAACCAATATTTTTAGTTTATTCAGTATATCTAACGACAGTTATTATAAGAATATAGTTAAGCGTTGTTCGATATGTTGCTCCTTTGACAATGAGATTAGATTGCTCCTAAAAATAATAATAGTATTTTTCCTATTAATTTATATCTTTACCTGGGATGTACTTCCAAAAATAAATTGGTGAAAACTTCAACTGTCATTTAGCAATAAACGTTTGATATATGACAGTTGTGGTAATTAAAATATATTCTAATAAAACCTACTCAAGCGTAACATGAATAAGGTATCTTTCTTAATTATAGCTATTATTTATATACCTTAAAACCTGCAAATTACGAGAATACAATACAAAATCTTATGTACACTTGTAAATAATTTTTACCATAATGTTAAACAAAATCTTACTATTTTCCAGGCAAATCGATGGCGATGTTCTTGGTACGTATATAAGGTTACTCCAATCTCCTGGCTTCATGTTTCTCAACCTTGTTGTAGTTATAGGCTGTTTACTGCCAGACTTTGTCGTCAGGATCATCTCCGAGCGCCTTACAAGAATGAGGATCATGAAACGACCCACCGAACCTACTGTTTTTATTACTAGTCTATGATAAAATCAGTTCCAGATTAACCATGTTGTAAGAAAAGCAGTGAATAGTATCTCCTAATTTTGATGTTTAGTCATTAGACATTAAATTTTTGACAGCTACCAGTGATTGAAGATAGCCTAAAGCTACTTTAGCGCCACCTGGTAAGCAAAAAGCGGTTCCGTGCTAACTTAATTCAGCACTAGATGCAATGTCATGAGTAAATAACTCATATATACTGTTGTTGAGGCAATAATCATGACTATAACTTACAAATATTGTAGTCAAATGAAAGTATACGTAAATAGAGTAAGAATAAGGTAGGTGTTTCAGAAACGTATGTGATATATACAGGGTGTAGGTTAGACAAACTACAAGTTTAATGAAACGATTTTATTGTGCTATTATTATTATTGGTGCCGTAACGAAATTAGCCAAAGTTAACTTGATACGATGCTAATAGTACAAAATGAATGAAAATATTTTTGTAGTAAATTTTTGACCAGTTAAAAATACACCCTAAATTGTAGATGATAAGACAAATTTGATAATTGTAAATAGATACTTTAAGGTTAATTGTTTAAAGTCGAGATTAGAAAATATTTGTCAGTGTGCAGAATGAGTACTTATTTGAACTCAAGTATTTAGATTAATATGTTCATAAATACATTTCAGTCACAACACTATAACTTATTTATGGCCTGGAAACTATTTATAGGTAAAAATAATTTATATTTTAGATATTTTCAAATATTGTATTTTGCTAGTCCAAATGTCATAATTCGGGTAATAAATGAATGTGATAAACGTTTTAGATTTAATAATAATAACTTAAGTGGTGATTTGTGGACATTTGACGACGACGCACGATAATTACTCGTGTCCATTACTGTAGGTAATTATACATTAATTTTCATATAAAATGTATCTGAAAATATTTTATCTCGTTCCGTGAACAATGAGTAGATACTCCAGATATATTTTTGTCATATTATAGCCAACGCATGTTTAATAAAATTATATCCTTCAAGTCAGAACGGCTAAAGGGATCGGGATAAATTTGGGATTTTTTTTTACGGGGGGAATATCATCGAATGACTGCTCTCGCCTGGGTGAAGCGGAAGGGCGTGTCAGACTCTTACTGACTAAAAACCACCCCCTTCCTTCTCCTGCACTTCGAGCCGGAGCCCTGGCAACCCGTTAGGTTCTCCGCGACATAAATTAGGGCTGGAATACTACTCTTTGACTGGATTTAGGTGTTACATTGTTGTCGCACAATCGAACCAATTAAACTGTGTAACTGGAGAATTGTATTGTGAACCTGATTGGAAAAGAGTAAGCTATGGAGTTTCTTGTTCGTTCGTTCTACACATAGGAATGAGCGAATAGCTTCACTTTTAAATTTCTATTGCTGATGTTCAAAAGTGCCTTCGTGGTCTAATTGAAATAAATGATTTTGACTTTGACTTTCACTATGAAAATAACACATAAGCTTCTTTATCCCACGACGGGACCGCGGACGAAGTCGTTGGCAGAAGCTAGTAGGCTATACCTGTTGAAATATCATCCCCTAAATTTGTTCATACAAAAGTAGTCTCTAAACATCGGATATGTCGCGGAGAACCTAACGGGTAACCGGGGCTCCGGCTCAACGTGCAGGAGAAGGAACGGGGTGGTTTTTAGTCAGTAAGAGTCTGACACTCCCTCCCGTCTCACCCAGACGGGAGCAGTAGTTCGATGATTTTCCCCCCTTAAAAAAATGTAGTAAGTGGAGAGCGGTCACCGGTGACTGCTTGGAGATAAATGGGTTGTATAATGATATCATTACTGCTTTAACGGACACGATCAAAAATCGTTCCATGACTTACCCATGTACATAGTCTAGGTAAGTAGGCACCTAATTGTATATACTTTTATTTATAATTATTTTCCTAATGTCAATAAACTTTGGGCATTTCTATGTATAATATTTTTAAGTTAAAATGTTTTAATAAATTGTGCATTCGATTGCAGATATTTTTAGAACATTAATAAATCTAGTTAATTAGATATTTTTGTAGATTTATTGAAAGTATGAGTACAAAATTATTTGTATAAATAATTTATTATGAAAAATAGTGCGTTTAATAGTCAACCGCACATTTCTCTTTTATGACAAACGAGTTATTTAAATTACGTACTAACTATAGTTTAAGATTTACCTCGCATAAGTGTACATACTCTGTATGTTAGATAAATTATTATTAAAAACATTGAAATAGATTTTTTATAAATTGTGTTTGATTATCATCTCCCTTTGTTTTGTCACAGACTGCCTTGTAGGCTGAGTGGTCGCTAGTGCGATTGCCAGGCAAGGGGTCTTGGTTCGATTTCTGGGTCGGGCAAAGAATTACTGGGTTTTAAAAAAATCTTAGTAGTAGCACGGAGTTTGAAATTGTGCCATACTCCGTGCGGTATATGGCAATAGGCTCACCCCCTATTACACGGGACTCATAACATAAAGATTGATAGTGGGTGTTACATTATATGTACTGTAGGCAGAGGGTAGGCAGGGCAGGCATATTAGGGCAGTTAATGCTAACTGCCCTAATGTGCTCCTCTGCCTACCCTTCGGGAATAAAAGGCGTGATGTTTTGTTACATATTTCCTTGTTAAATGGGATTTCCTTTTTTTCTGCTGTGACGACAGAGATGATGACATTTTGTCGTTTTTTTCTGGAAGAGGAGGCAAAGGAGGAGACGGTCGTCGTCACCCTTAATGTTCCTGTGGGTATGATTGAAGCCGACATCAGGCCTGCTAAGCGGTGATTACAGCTAATCCTCGGGGCTAGTATCATTGTATGTAGAAGCTGACAAACGACCTGGTAAGTGTGGAAATGAACAAATCCTCGTGGGCAGCTCGTGTATAGAGGAGGTCCATAGGTGGAGCAGTGGGCAGTCACGTTATTAGGAATATCAAGTAGATTATGTTATTGTTTACTATTGCATAACGTTAAGTATTTGTGTTTATAGAAATAAGATGTCCTCCTATAACAATAGGGATGATGACGGGCAATGAAAATTAAAAATCTAATTACTCCGTCAGTTTGGTATTAAAAAATATTAGACACGCAATTTTTTTATTTTGTCGTATAAGAAAACAATACTTAGATAAAACGAATCAAATAGTTTTGTATTTTGAATTTATTTATTTATTGACTGCCTCGTTGGCCGAGTGGTCGCAAGTGCCCCTGCCGGGCAAGGGGTCTCGGGTTCGATTCCCTGGTCGGGCAAAGTACTACTGGGTTTTAAAAAAAATCTAGTGGTAGCACGGAGTCTGGAATTGTGCCCGGTACATGGCAATAGGCTCACCCCATAATACATGGGACTCATAACATAAATAGTGAAAAGTGGGTGTTACATTGTACAGTACACCTCTGCCTACCCCTTCGGGGATCTAAGGCGTGATGTTATATTATATTATTTATACTTTATATTAAAAATAATCCTTGTTTACTTTTCTAGAAAGAAATTGACTTCCACATAGTAATTAAAACAACTAGTCAACATATAAATATTTATCAAAAGGATCTTATTCAGTACCTACTTTCATTTTTTTCAAATCAAATCATTTGTTTGTTAATATTGGCAAATTAAATTAAGTTGTTAGAAGATAAGTAGATACATTTCAGACCATATTACGCATTGAGGCATGCAAAATTCAAAATAACAAAAATGGCGGCATCACAATATTATTCGAACAAAAATTAATACTTTCAAATTTCAAACTATCACACATGTTTCACGATTGTAATACAAGGTGTAGTTTTGACATCGTGTCATTTTTTGGGGGCATGTCAAAGAAGTCATAAAGGTTCAATGTCACAGAAAGTTTCGGGCCAATAGTTAAAAATACGGCTATAATAAATCGTTTAAGTTAGACAGTATATGGACAGAATAAGCGATGTTTCTTATTGGAGTTTTATGGAGTTAGGAATAATATCAATTACGTGTTTGAGTTTGTGTGTGTTGAGCCGCGTTATAAAGCGGATTTACAGAACGTAATAAACAGAATTTTTTTTTTTGTTGATTGGACTCAGAATCGATAGCCGAGTTACCTCCTAGAAAATGACGCGGCTTTAAAACAACACCTTGTATAGGTGAAATCAAAATATAATGTCACCAAATTAATTAAAAAATTAATGTCAATAAATTTGTCATTTTTTAAGGGACACACCCGCCACAACCTCCCGAAACCGCTGCAACTCCTGTAAGCCAGGATCTACAGTAGATACAACCATGAAAACACCGGAATACTAAAGTCCGGCGCGTCTCAGGGACATGATAATTGTCTTGGTTCCCGCAACGAAGTGAATCAGAAGATATTATAAGAGGAGAAGAAAAAAATAAGATATATTTGTTAATTTTTTCGTTTTTTCGTTAATTATCTTCCAGGTAGCCGCGGAAGGCCTAACAGGTTGCCAGGGCTCCGGCTCGACGTGCAGGAGTAGAAACGGGGTGGTTTTTAGTCAGTAAGAGTCTGACACTCCCTCCCGCCTCACCCAGGCGGGAGCAGTCATTCGATGATTTTCCCCCTTAAAAAAAGGCGGGAGAAAACTTTGGGTGACTTTCCCCCCTCAAAAAAAAAGAAAAAAAAAATAGCTAGTGATTTATTTCGGGCATTTTTTATGTAATTCTCATTACGAGGATTCTGAGATAGCTTAATGATACGATTTAGCCGCGCGGACAAAGCTAAAAATCTTTTACTATTATTTATTTATACTTTTGTTTTCCCTTGTGGGTTTTTTTCTGTATTCTCACAAAGATTTCTGAAATTAGACATCTTTAAATCCTTCTTCTTTATAACAGCTGATTGAGTCTCGGCTTCTTTGAAATGCGTGAATACAATACCACTACTAAACTTTTTCAATATCTTCTTGTCCTCAAACGGATGGTTATGGGTGAATGTTCTGAAAATATAAAAACAATTATTATACTTTCTAAGACTATTTATACACCACTGACAAGCTGTGAAAGAAAACATCGTAAGAAAACTTAGGCTTATAATTTCTAATTATAAGTTTAAAATCGCCAGTCCGCATACAGCAAGCATGGTGATTAACGCTCAAACCTCCGTGTGAGAAGGCCTTTGGTCAGCAGTGGCCACTTATGGAATGTTGACAATCAATTATACATGTAAGTGATTACGTCGCTGATAAAGTAGTGTCCGGTATATAGTAATAGGCTCTCCCCTGTTACATGGGACTCATAACTTGTGAAAGATTTGTGGTACATTAAATTATCTTCTATCTCAATTGGAAGGAACTAACATCTAAGGTATATATTATATAGATAGTATTTTTTTTTTTAAGGGGGGAAAATCATCGAATGACTGCTCCCGCCTGGGTGAGGCGGGAGTGAGTGTCAGACTCTTACTGACTAAAAACCACCCCGTTCCTTCTCCTGCACGTCGAGCCGGAGCCCCGGTTACCCGTTAGGTTCTCCGCGACTCCGAATCGGCATCGGCCCTATTGGGCCCCATCTGTGGTGGTCTGATGGCTCTTTGAGGCGCGCGCGGAACGCGACGCGCCGTACAACAGGCTCAGCCTAGTATAGATGTCAGTGTTCATAAACTGTGTGTTTTTGTTACAATAAACACTTTTTATTATTTATCTTCCTTCCAAAAGTCCACTTACCTGTCTACAACAGTATTGTCGTTTAAAGTACTTATATTGGCTGGACAATTGTTATTGGACGAATATTGCACACACCGCCAGAATCGTCTGCCATTGGTCTTGCTGATGTAGCGCAGGTTGTAAATATATCGGTTGTATACAGCTTGTAATCCACCCTGGTTTGATATTGAGTATTGTACTTGTTTACTTACTGTAATGTAATCAAAAATGTATCGTCATTATGAGCGTTTTGGTTCATTGGTCGATATATAGGCGCAAAAAATATATTAAAAACTAGCATTTACCCGCGGCTCTGCTCGCGTATTCTTGTTTTATCCAATGGGAGCATGTAATCGGGATAAGTATCCTATCACCTATACGAGTATAAGTCAGCCC